CCTTGGAAGCTGGACTAAGGAGGAGGCGGAGCTGCCTGCACGGCTAGATCCCCTTGCTGAGTGCAAGAGCTGGTTTAGGATGCAGGGAGTCTAGCTGGCCTGGGGGGCAGGGAGAGGGCCCAGAGCCCGGGTTCTGGGCTTCCATATCCCCAAGATGGATTGAGCTGAATGCTCCTGGTTCCTGTAACACGTCTGTGCTACCCTGTGTCTTTGTGAACCAATAAATCTTCTGTTCTACCTGCTGCCTGAGTCACTTGTGACTGTGGATGGGGGGTGCAAGGCCCGCTGACTCCCACAAACTCCGTGACAAAGGCAATGCCTTGCATCCTCTAACTCTTTTCCACTGGCGATGGAGCCCCAGAACACCCCACGGAGTCGGCGCTTAGGCCAAAAAGTTCCTGTGCAGATGAGGCTTGGAAATTGCAGCTCTGGCTCTGAAGCCCTTTCCCCTCCCCTGGTTCTAGACCCGAGCTGCGGCTCATGGGGGAACGTCAACACGCTCTCTGCACTTCGGAGTCCTTGCGTGAGCCCTGGGCTGGCATTTCCTGTAAGCCGAGCGCTTGTGCAGCCAATCAGGACAGAGTTCACGGCAACCCAGCTGATCAGCTGACCGCCCACAGCGAGGTGTTGTGTTTCCCCGGGTGGTGCACATGGGCACAAGCCTCGGCGCACACAACAAAATGTATTCCGCACATGGATGGAAAACATCCCCACGCGGATGGAACTGATTAGAGGGAACATGCTCGGTGGGTAGAATAGGTGGGGGAAGGCCATGGCTGCCCAAAATGGAGGCATGACCCCGCCCACACTCCGCCCCCAGCCTCAGCCCAGTTTCTGGGTTTCAGCCACCCTGGGGTTTGGACAGTACCCCCTCCCCATGGAGACTGGGGTGACTGGGACCACGGGCGTCCCACCCCGCGTCAGGGAGGCTCACGTGGGGGCCTGCTGCTGTGGTGCAGAGGTGGCCCGCCGTTCCGACGGGGGTTGGGCTTGGTTTCCTGTGGGGGCGGGGCCTCGGGCGCAAGGGGCGGGGCTGGAGGCTTCTTTCCCCCAGCCCTACACTCACCCCACATTCACCCACCACTCATAAGAGGGAGCCAGACGGTTGTGTGAGTTCCTCGACCAGGGCTGGGATGATCGACAATGCAGTGGGGAGGTCTCCTCTCCATGCACTGCTGCACGGGTTGGGCTTGGTTTCCTGTGGGGGCGGGGCCTCGGGCGCAAGGGGCGGGGCTGGAGGCTTCTTTCCCCCAGCCCTACACTCACCCCACATTCACCCACCACTCATAAGAGGGAGCCAGACGGTTGTGTGAGTTCCTCGACCAGGGCTGGGATGATCGACAATGCAGTGGGGAGGTCTCCTCTCCATGCACTGCTGCACCCCTTTACCAAAAGACGGGGTTGTCAACAGGATGTAGGTAACCCCCTTCAAAAGCTTCTTAAATCGACACAAATGATCCCTTTTAAATCAGTTAGGAGCAAGTTTAATTCAATCCCAGTATTGCCCACCCCCCGCATTCAAAACATCCCCAATTCTTAAAAATCAGATTAAAAAAAAATAGTGTTCTTATTAGTATATTGTGGTAGCACCTGTTCACGGACAGGACACTATGGTGCAAGGCGCTGTACGGACCCCAGTCCAAAAAGACATCCCCCCACTGACGAGAGTAGCAGTAATAAATGTGGGGGATTTGAATTTGCTGGAGCCTTTAGGAATCCATTTTTTTTCTTTGCTGCCACTGGGAAGCCTGGAAACTTCTCCTGTGCATTGATGAAATCTTAGGCTGTTATGATTTTAATTGCTTGATTTAATAAGCACTCAGAGCCTGAGGGAATCACAGGACTCAAGGAACTGGGGCTTTAAGAGAAAAAATCAAATATTATGACACACACGGGAAAACTACAAGCTCTGGCAACACTTAGGCCTAGTCTACATTACATTGACCCCTTCTTCCCCCAGCTGATCTAATCTGCACAATTTCAGCTATGCAAAGAGTGTAGCTAAAGTTGATGTACTTATTGTGGTGTCTTCCATACAGTGAAGTGGGTGGAGGCTGTTCACCTGTGAACTCCAGCTACTCCTCTCACCCTGGTGGAGTGCCAGAATCGTCAGGAGAGCACTCGGAGGTTGATTTATCACATCTAAGCAGACGCAATAATTCAACAGCCGGTGGATCGATCGCTGCAGCTTAGATCCCCCATCGAATGTAGAGAAGCCCCTAAAATTGAGCCACACCACTTTGGAGCCCAAGTAAGAGCATCCACACAGGTGTGTGTTCTGGTTCAAATTAAATAAGATGCTGGTGCAAAGATTGTGTGTAGGCAATGCTGCAGAGGCTAGAGCAGGCGGTGCAGAAAATGGCTAGAGGGGAGCCTTTCCTGGGGTGGGAGGTCGAGTCCCATTTTGCTTCAGGGCAAGATTGTGAGGGTAACCGGGAAGCCCACGTACAAGAAGGGGAAAACAACTTCCTCCTTGAAGGAGGCCAACATCACAGTCGTATGGTCATCTTCATAAAATCCAACCCACCCCTCTTCATAATCCAGACAAACTCCGATCTTCCCAGACTTCACACACCCCTGTGAGGACACATCAGAGGAGCCGTCTGCATCCCTCCGAGGCCACCTGCACTCATAACACCAGATCCCCTCCTCTGGCTTAAGAGTGAGTGTTTCCTTCCTCTTCACCGACTCTATGGCAACCCCCACAGCCCACGGACGCTGATCCCCAACATCCACCTCCCAGTAATGTCTCCCTGAGGTGAACCCCTGGGCGCCCAGAACACAGGGTACAAGCTCAAATCTCTTGGGATTGGGGGGTGGACTCTGGGGGAAGTCTGCTGCAGTCACGGACTTCCTGTCCTCAGACACTATGAGATACTCTTCCGCCGTGTCCGGATCCAGAGTCACGTCCGCTGGATGGGGAGAGAGAGAAGCAGAGCGTTAGAGTCAGGGGGGAGACCTTCTCCTGTAGAAAACCCCTGGACACATGCCCGAGCACACGGAGCAGGGCTGACACAGCCAGCACCTGGAGCCCCATGTGTCCCTCATGGGCTTCTTGTCTGCCTCCCACAGGGCCACTAGGGAACAGATGGGGGACAAGGCATGAGGCAGAGCCATGGGGTGGGCAATAATTTTTGATGGGGGGGGCACTTCTAGATTTTGGCAAGTGGTCTAAGGCAGCACTCCTCCATGGAGGAGGTACGAGGTTTGAGATGGAGGCTGGGTGCAGAAGGGAGCTTGATATAAAGGACTGGGGTGCAAAAGAGGGTGTGGGGTCTGGGAGGGCCTTTAGATGGAGTGGGGGTTGTGACATGGGACAGGGAATCGGGGTGCAGGGTCCAGTAGGGAGTAGGGGGTGCAGAGCGATTTTTGACCTAGGAGAGGGGTGGAGCAGGGGTGCAGGATTGGGGAGGGAGTTGTGACCTGGGGTGGGATGTGGGGGCAGAGAATTTGGGTGGTGACCTGGGACAGGGGGTTGGGAAGTGGGAGGGGCTATGGAGCAAGAGGCAGGCTCTGGCTGGGAGTCACTTACCATGGCATCTCCTGGCCAGCAACCCTGCAGCATCCCCAAGGCCGGGTGGGCTCCCTACCCGCTTGCGCCC